TGCATCATTTAAAATATTTATTTATTTATTTAATTTGTTTATTTAATTTATTTATTTATTTATTCTAAGAGGGTGTTGTGGGTTGAGGCGGAGCACCTGCTCAAAAGGAAACCGGGTCAGTCGCGAGTCTTTTTATTTTATTTATTTATTCTCTGAGGGTGTTGTGGGATTAGGCGGAACATCTGATGTTGAAGACAGAAGAGAGAGAGCCCAGATGTTGCTGGATCGATAACAACATGAAAAAAAAAATTTCTTAATAAAAACATTTTTTAGAGAGGGTGTTGTGGGTGGTTGGCGGGAGCTCTGGTGTGGTTTGCTCCTTTTTTCCTACCAAACATCTGTCTTCCTATCTCTCCTCTTTCTTTTTTGTGTTTGTTACTCCCTTGTAACACCCCAAATCTTCAGCATTTGTATGACCTAATTGTGTTGCAAGTGCCGTAAGACAAAAAAAGAGGACGTTGCCATCCATTAGATGTAAATGAGACGGAAACCTCTGCAGCATCGTGTAGCGTCTGATATTATTATTATTATAATATTGTTATTATTATTGTTATTCGTCCTGGGAGGTGGAAACTGGACAAATTATGGGATTGCTGGGGTCAACGAAGTACACTGTGGCTTTATGCTACTGAGGCGTCAGGTTAGTCGTGAAGGTGAGCCCGGGTCACCCCGAAAAGTTGCAGGCTAACGGGGCTCTGGTAAAACTGTGACATTGTTAAAAACCAATTATTGTTATTATTTCTTCATCAGATGTAATCACACCTAACGGTCTCAATGTGGTCAAGTTCAGTGCTCTTCACGAGTTCCAGAATCTTCACGCTGTCAACAAGGAAAAGATCAACGATTTTGTCCGTGGACATTTCTACGGGTATGTAAATGTACACGATAGGTGGAAGGTAGTGTCAGCGGTCAGCGTTGCCAAGTGCCTCGTTTTGCTGTTTGATTTCTTTGATTCTCATGTGGTAGTTGGTTTCGATCCAGGATTCTAATTCTCGTCAAAATAAGTGAAATCAAATGCGCTGTCTATGTTTCTTCATAATTTCCGTATTGTAGATTTAGTTTGGATTGCTCACGGTAATTTCATCCATAGCGTTTCAGTAAATATATTTAATTGATTAGAATGATGATTTAGTAATGGATTTTCGGCTCTTGCTAAAAAAAACCCACAACTTAATAGTAGTATTGAAGACTTACTTCATTTTTTTTTGCGCTTGCAGACATTATGATTTTGATTTGGACAAGACGCTGTACTTTTTCACGGCGGGCCGCTATGAGTTCTCCAACAAGGGAGCGGACATGTTCATTGAGTCTTTAGCTCGGCTCAACTATTACCTCAAGGTAATTCTCTTTTTCTTTTTTTTTAGACGTGGATTGTGGGTGGTTGGTGGGTGCTCTGGTGTGGTTTTGCTTCTTCTTTCCTATCAAACATCTATTGTCCTTATCTCCCCTTCTTCTTTTTTATGTTTGTTACTCTCTTGTAACACCTCTAATCTTGTGGTGCTCATGTTACCTTATGCAGTTGCGAGCGCTGTAAAACCTCTACTAAAACTAAAAAAGACGTGGACTTCTTTTTAAACAATTATTACAGGGCTACAGGGTGGCCAGGGAAGTCGGAAATTGGTCCGAAATTTTTGTTCCAATGGAAATGGTTGGATCAACGTCGGCAATTAAAGGAAATTTGAGGAAATCTGTATATTGCCTTGAGGAAGACCCGGGAACATACTTAAAAGTAAAATTTCTCAAATATTTCAGCTTTTCCCGGTCTGAGAGTATGTTTCATGGGAACACACGGTTATGGCGGCAAGCGGAAGTGTATGTGTTGTGTGTGATACTGAGGCTCGATCTGGAAAATCAAGATCTACTTTCGCTTTTATTTATAACCACCGTGAAATTTGCCGATAATAGTCTGATAATGCAACGTTGTTACATGTAGTTTGTGCATTACGAACGCTGTCTCCTGGCTGTGTCGCCGTGAAAATAAATCAATATTCGTCACTGTACTGTCACTTGTGGAAAAAGAAAAGCCGTTAGATCAGGTTCGACTATCTACATCTATCTTAAATCTGGTGTGCTCTCCAGTCGTGTAACAGCGACGTGACGGTGGTGGCGTTCCTCATCTTCCCCGCCAAGACCAACAACTTCAACGTGGAGTCGCTGCGAGGGCAGGCCATTGCCAAACAGCTGAAGGAGACAGTGAACACCGTGCAGAACCAGATCGGGCGCCGCTTGTATGATATATGCTTGAGGTGAGCGCAGGGAGAAGGGAGCAAGGGGAAGGCTGCGTGGAACTGGGAATGGGGGGTGGGGTGGGCGGCGTCACAGAGAATGGTGTTGTGCTGAAAAGTGGGAAGGCAGAGAATGGTGTACTGAAAAGTGGGAGGGCAGGGAATGGTGTACTGAAAATGAAGAATGATGTACAGAAACGTGGGAGGTCTGGGAGTGCTATCAAGAAGCTAGTCCTGGATAGGGAAAGATGGAAAATGTTTGTTCGTTGGCCTATACCCTAACCCAGGGTGAGAAAAGGCATTGATGATGATGATGATGGTGAGGAGGATGATCATAATGATGATGATGAGGAGGATGATGATCATGATGATGATGATGAGGAATAAGTACAATCTCTGTGTCAATGGATTATCCTCTTGGACAATTGTGACTGCATCTTTGCTCTCTTTGCTTTTATCTGTTTTGACAAGACTTTTTTTCCCCCCTTTCTCGCATTATTCAGAGGCAGTTTGCCGAGTGGTGATGACATTTTCACCCAAGACGACGTGGTCAAGCTGAAGCGTTGCATCTATGCTGCCCAGGTAGGTTCGTCGTCCTTGTTTGTGTCGCTGGATTTATGTTAAGTGCCTATAGTTGTGTACGCACGGAAATATGTTCTTTGTCACTAGATTTATATAAAGGATTTATAGTTGTGTACGCACGGAAATATGTTCTTTGTCACTGGATTTATATAAAGGGCTTAGGTTGGTGGTTGGCGGGTACTCTGGTGTGGTTTGCTTCTTGTTTCCTATCAAACATCTATCGTTCTTTTCTCCCCTTTTTCTTTTTTTATGTTTGTTACTCTCTTGTAACGCCTCTAATCTTCTGGCGCTCATATGACCTTATTCCGTTTTTTCGAGCGTCGTAAAACCTCCACTAAAACTAAAAAACTAAGAAGTGCCTAGAGCTGTGTACACACGTAAATATGTTCTTTGTCGCAGGATTTGTGAAAAGTGCCTAGACCTGTGAACGCACGGAAATGAATATGTTCTTTGTCGCTGGATTTGGGTAAAGTGCCCAGACCTGTGTACGCACAGAAATAAATATGTTCTTTGTCGCTGGATTTGTGTAAAGTGTCTAAAGCTGTCCCCGTAGAATTATGCAAATTTAGATGGCCAAATTATGCACAAAAAAAAGCCAAATTATGCAAGTTACCGTAACACCATTCGTGACATGTTCTACACTTTTTCAATGCGAAGTATCATGATTTTCATGTTTTGTGTTAAGGAAAATTTAAAACAGAACATATCAGTATCAGTCATTTGTAGTGTATTTTAATTAAATTAATTGTTTTGTGGAGAAAAAAAAGGAAAAAAAAAGTGAAAAAATGCGGGGAGTCCAAAATTATGCAAATGTTGCAGAATTACGCGAAAAAAACGTGGCCGCGCCATAATCCCACGGGGGCAGCTAAAGGTGTGTGCACATGTAACCATGCGCTATAAGAATTATTTACAATCAAGCTAAAATACCGCAAACATAAAAGTAGGTGGTTGGTGGGTGCTCTGGTGTTGTTTGCTCCTTCTTTACTATGAAACATCTGTGGTCCTTGTGTCTCTCCTCTTCTCTTTCTTTTTAGTGTTTGTTACTGCTTTGTAACACCTCTAATCTTTAGCACTTATATGACCTTATCGTGTTGCAAGTGCCGTAAAACTCTTACTAAAATAAAAAGAAAGCAAAAAAAACCCACGGAGAACTCTAAATCATGGATAGCCCGTATAGTTCGCCATTTCTGTTACTGATATTTCTTTAATTTATCGTAAGTTGTTAACCTGGATTATGGATGTGTCAAACAAGTTTGATTATCTGTGCCAGACTGTATATATATTTTTATTATAATTTTTATCATCATTTCATATATATTGGAAGTTTTGGGCTGTGTCGATAGCAACATGTGGGTGGTTGGTGGGTGCTCTGGTGTGGTTTGCTCCTTCTTTCCTATCAAACATCTATCGTGCTGATCTCTCCTCCTTCTTTTTTGTGTTTGTTATTCTCTTGTAACACCTCTAATCTTCAGCACTTATATGACCTTAATGTGTTGCAAGTGCCGTAAAACTCTTACTAATACCAAAAAAAGGAACATGAAAAAAAACACCCCCTCTAATTTTTGTTTTATAATAATTGTTTTTTCCCTTCCCCATCTGCCGTTTGTGTTTGTCAGCGCAACAGTCTGCCCCCCATCTGCACGCACAACGTGATGGACGACTCCAACGATCAAGTCCTCAACCAGATCCGCCGCTGCAACCTCTTCAACAACAGACACGACAGAGTTAAAGTAAGTTCATCCCCGCTCCAGACACGACAGAGTTAAAGTAAGTTGATCACCACTCCAGACACGACAGAGTTAAAGTAAGTTCATCCCCGCTCAAACTCCCATAAAGAGATTTAAGTTCACCGTTCCTAAAGTAAGTTCACCGTTCCTAAAGTAAGTTCACCGCTCCTAAAGTAAGTTCACCGTTCCTAAAGTAAGTTCACCGCTCCTAAAGTAAGTTCATGGCTCCTAAAGTAAGTTCACCGCTTTCAATGCTTCTAAAGTAAGTTCACCGCTCCTAAAGTAAGTTCATGGCTCCTAAAGTAAGTTCACTGCTTTCAATGCTCCTAAAGTAAGTTCACCGCTCCTAAAGTAAGTTCATGGCTCCTAAAGTAAGTTCACTGCTTTCAATGCTCCTAAAGTAAGTTCACCGTTCCTAAAGTAAGTTCACCGATCCTAAAGTAAGTTCACTGCTTTCAATGCTCCTTAAGTAAGTTCACCGTTCCTAAAGTAAGTTCACCGATCCTAAAGTAAGTTCACTGCTTTCAATGCTCCTAAAGTAAGTTCACCGTTCCTAAAGTAAGTTCACCGATCCTTAAGTAAGTTCACCACTCCAGACACGACAGAGTGAAAGTAAGTTCATCACCACAGCTCACACTCCTATAGTCAAAGTAAGTTCCTCACAATATGTGTTTGTGTGTGTGTGTGTGCACGCGTGTGTTTGTGTGTGTGTGTGTGTGTGTGTATGTGTGTTTCTGTATATGTCTTACCATGTTGGTGTGTGTGTGTGTGTGTGTGTGTGTATGTGTGTGTGTATGTGTGTTTCTGTATATGTGTTACCATGTTGGTGTGTGTGTGTATGTGTGTGTGTGTATATGTGTGTGTGTGTATATGTGTGTGTGTTTCTGTATATGTCTAACCATGTTCGTGTGTGTGTGTGTGTGTGTATGTGTTTCTATATATGTCTCACTATATTCGTGTGTGTGTGTGTTTCAGATCGTGTTCCACCCAGAGTTCCTCAACTC